GTTGTCACTTTTCCGTTGCTTTTGTTGGCCCCCCCCCCCTCTTTCCCGAAGCATGCTAACACGCGCTTCGTGCTTTGGTGCTGCGCCCACATCGCGTGCGTGCTCCCCTTCCTCCATATATCGCGGTCAACCTGGACAGCCATGTCCAAGAAGCTGTCCAAGGCTGCCATCATCGGCATCTCGGTGGGTGCTGTGGTGGTGATTGTCATCATTGCCGTCATCATCGCCATGTTTGTCCGGGGCTATTCCAGTGTACGTGTGCCGGCCCCTGTGCTCAATTCTTTTTCCTTTTTTTCGCGCGACCATGTGCAACGCCCGTGTCTGATGCTCTCTCTCTCTCTCTCTCTCTCTCTCTCCTCTTTCCCGGAAACACCCAAACCTAACAACTTTTCCGTGGCTCTCTCTCTCTCTCTCTCCCCTCCTCCCTGCAGGAGCACAAGAAGATCCCATCCAACGCCGACTCCTTCCAGATGACCGGCGCCTACATTGACTGATCGCCGTACCTCTCACATCTCCTCTTTTGCTCCCCTCCGGTGTCCTGTGGCCGGAAGGATCCCGTGTCACACATCCATGCCCAAGGGGCCCCTCTTCCCTTCTGTCCTTGTGTCCCCTCCTCTTTTTAAATCTACGCCTTATTGTTATAAAGCATCCCGCATCCGTGTGTGTGTGTGTGTGTGTGTGTGTGTATGTGTGCGTGTAGGGGCGGGGGAGCAATTGGGCGAGTGGGAAGGGGGAAGGCACTCTCGGAGGGGGTCCCCTTTCCGGGAGGATGGCGCCGCCATGTGTATTGTCCTGGATTATGGACGCCTTCTCACGGGCACACGCTCCAGCGGGAAGAAAAGTACACGTGAGGGGGCAATCCCGGATGCTGACGATCCGCCAAATGAAGCCACGGAAGGCTGGAAGAAGAGAAGCAGAGGAGGAACACATGATGTGCAGCGCAGTGGGCGTGTCCACCGAACTAGAGACACACATACTGCGTTGCGCACGCGCCTCGTCCGCCATCGGGCCTCCCTCTGCCGGCATGGCCGTCGCCATGCGCCTCTTAGAAGAAGCTGCCAGGGAAGGCGCCATGCGAGGAGGCACCCCCAGCGGCCGACTCGCTGAAGTGCGTGCGGATGAGGGCCGCCAGGGTGGACGCGGCTGCCTGGATGACGTGCCCGGCGCTGGAGCGGGCAACCACAGTGGCCGCAACGTTGCCCGACGTCGGAAGCCGGATCTCGAAGAGAATCTGCGTGTCGGTGGGCTCAAGCACGGCAAAGGAGAAGTACACATTCACGAGGGCGCCCTCGGTGCCGATCTGCCGCTCGGCCACGGTGTACACGTTGTTGGCCTGCAGGCGCTGCTTGAAGGTGGCCATTTGGTGCTCTGGCAGGGGGATGGAGAGCTGCTCAAGCTGTGGTGTTTAAGAAGGCAGCGGATCAGGGGAAAAGGGCCGCCCCGCCCCCAAGAGGCAGGCAGTGCAGAGGGTTAGCAAATGGCGGCGAGCAAGAGAGCGGGCGGAGGAAAGGGAAAGAGGAAGAAGATCAGTCCCCCCGCCCTCCCCCTCTTCTGTGCCACACGAGGCAGGAGCAGCATACGCACGGCCGGATTGTCGGCCGGGAGGGCATTCCACTTGGCCAGGAAGTTGTCGGTGAGCACGGCCTGCGGGGCCTCCTTGAAGAAGACATGCAGCGGGGCCAGCGACTGGAAATACACCACACCCACCGTGGACTTGAGAGCTACCTGCAGGTTGTTGAAGGGATCCTTCATGGCCACGGCCGAGGCCGACGTGCTCAGCGGGATGCTAACCTCCAGGGTCATGTTGGGCATGGCGATCTTCTGCGCGTCGACCTGCTTGGCCGGCTGGGCACCGAGGCTGCGCGACGGCGACAGTGCCGGCAGTGGTGGCGGCACAGTTGGCCAGCAGAAAGGGGGGAATTTTTTTTCGCAAAAAACAAAAAAACAAACGAAATGGACAGAGTGTGAGAAGGGCGCCTTCTAGCATGGGGCAGGGAGAATGGCACAGCAGAGCACAGCTCCGCCAGAGGCGTACCCGTTGGTGTTAAATTGCACGAAGAACTCGCCAATCGGCTGCATGGCTCGGTTGGTGATGGTCAGCTCCAGGGTGGGCTGGGTACCGCGGCGGACAAAGCCACCGGAGATGTCCAGGCCGCGGCCGGCGCTGGCCTGCAGCAGCGACTGCTTGACCAGCGGGGCGCGGAGCTCCAGCGAGAAGGGATCGACAAAGGTGCCCCCGGCCCCGAGGGCCGCGATGTCCGCCGAGAAGAGACCCCCCCCGGGGGTGGGAGCGCCCATGGGCGACGGGGTGGTCGGGGTGTCGAGCGAATTGTCGATCAGGGAAATCCCCCCGAAGAGGGTGTCCAGATCGGATGCCCCACCGGACCCGGTGACCGACGCCCCAACATACATGGACGGGCTGCCCCCGGTCATGGCATACCCGCCGTACATGGAGTTCCGGTTGTCGACCGGAGCACCGCCGGGCGCTGGCGCAGGATCGTCCAGGTCCAGGAGGTTCATGAAGTTCGACCTGGGCGTGTGCCATGGCACCGGCGAGGACGGCAGTCGGGGGAGAGAGGGAGAGAGAGAGGGAGGGGGGAGGGGAAAGAACCATCAGAGGAGGCAAGAGGACACATGGCTGGCATGTGTGCAGGACACCCTGGGGGACATACCCATACGGAGCGTCGCCATCGGCCAGGTAGCTGGCCGGGCCGGCGGGCTGAGCAGCAGCAGCAGCAGCAGGCTGGGCAGCAGGCTGGGCAGCAGCCGTCTGGTGGCTTGCGGCGGTGGCGGCGGCCGCGGCGGCGCTGCCCGCATCGCTGGGCAACGGGGGCGGCATGTGCGCACGCGCCTTGGTCGAGCTGAGGAAAGAGCTGGGCGGCTGGATGGCCAGCAGTGTCGAGGGCCGCAAAGCCAGGAGTGGTGTGAGATAATCCATCGACAGATACATCAACAAAATCGTCAGGGGCGGCTGGAGGGGAAAAAGGAGCCAGGAAAGACAAGGGGAAGGAGCGACAGCGGCCTCGTCCACCGAGGGCGAGCTTACCTTGTGGTACACCGAGGCCAGGGTGCCCAGGTTGAAGAGGAGCTCCCGGAGGAGAACCGGCCCGAGGCCACCGTCGATGGGGTTGCGCGCGCAAATCGGCTTGTCGGTGGAGCTAATGAGCAGGCGCGCGGCCGCCGGGTTGGAGCTCAGCAGGCGCCAGTACATGTAGGCCCGATCGCGGAGATCCGGGTTCGGCGAGTAGTCGGTGACCATTTGCAGGAGGCGCTTCATGCGGGGCTCGGCCCCAGCGGGACGCTTGAGGAAGACCGTCACACAGGCAGTCAGAGTGGCCAGCTGGACCGGGGTCTGCTCGTCGAGGATGTTGTCTACCCGAGAGTCCAGCGCGGCGGCCGCCTGGGGGATCAGGTCGAAGTAGTTCCCCAGCAGCCAGGTGAGGGCCGCCTTGGCCTGCGGAGCCAGCCCGGGGAGATCATGCTCGAAAAGCCCCGGCACGATGCTTGCCACGCTGGTCTGGTCCGGGTACCGGCGGAGGATGTCCCGCACGACGACAATCGACTCCTCGATCAGGTGCTCCACCGGGGTGGCCATCAGGTCATGCAGGACCTTCAGGCACAGGTCGATGGCGGCATCGATCTTGACCGCGCAGATGCCGATGGCCCGGACGGCCTTGCGCGCGAAGTCGGCATCCACCTCCGTCGCATACTCCTTGAGTTCCGAGAGAACCTGCTTGCAGTTGTCCGGGTTCACCAGGCGGATGATGATCTCGATCTTGGCCATCTTGACGTAGATCGGGTCGTTGTAGTCGCAGAAGAACACCTGTGTATGTGTGTGTGTGTGTGCATGGGGGACAGGATGGATAGCGTGTAAGTAGCGGTGGTGCGGGGCGCCGCATGGCGAGAGGAGGGGAGGTGTGTGACAGGGCGTCGGGTGTACCTTGATGTCGCCGTCGAACATGTTCGGACACTTCTGGATCAGGAGGCTGGTGTTGCGGAGAGCCACATACCGAACCTCCGGCAGGGGGAAGGCCATGATGGCAACTGCCGGTTGGGCGACCGGCGGAACAGACAACGGGAGCAGACATTAGCACGCACGCATGCCTTCAAAGGGGAGGGGGGGGGGAGGGAGGAGAGGGAGGCCAAGCAAAGAGCCCCAAGCAAGAAAAAAGGCAACGGGCGCAACCGGGAGTAGGGCCCGGCGCGCGATCGGATGACGTACCGGTGGCCGCGCTAATCTTCTTCGACAGGGCGTTGCGCTGCTCGGTTGAGGAGAGGTGGTCATAAAGGCGCATCAGGAAGCGGATGCAGGACATGACCACACTGGGGGAGGCGTGCGACAGGCGCGGCGAGCTGAGCGCCGCAAGGGCGTCCACATCGGCCACGGTGATGCCATCATTGAATTCGCCCGCCCCATTGACCGGGTTGTAATGGGTAGCCAGCGACTCCAAGATGTAGGTTTGCGCCCAGGCGGTGCACTCATTCAGGACGGTCAGCAGCTCGCGCACGATGTTGTATGCAAAGTGGATGGCCAGCGACTCGCTGCTCCGGAGGTTGATGTCAGCAATGACCGCCAGGACATTGGCGACAACCTTTGGGGGGGGGAGAGAGAGAGAGAGAGAGAGAAAACGCGAGGGAAAGGCAGATCCCGAAAGTTAGCCGGTTGTCGGGGAAGGCGGGGGCAGGGCATTTCCAGCGACTGGCGAGCGCACATTTGGGTTCTTGTCGGCGATCATCTCCTGCAGGATCTCGAAAAAGCCCTCATTGCGGACCATGTCCGGCTCATGCTCATGCAGCTTGGCGATGCACATGGCGGCCGTGCGGCGAACATAGGCATCCTCATCCTGCCGAAGGGGCGTCAGTGTCGGGGGGACTGAGAAGAGGACAGAGTTTGGGCGACACGGCACTGGGGGGCGGGGGGGGGGGGGGGGGGATACACACCTTGACCGCCTGGCGCAGACACTGGGCCAGGGACTCGTTGATTTTGTCCACCGGGATGTATGACATATTACGCAAGGCCAGGGCCCGGATCAGGGGGTTTGGGTTCTTGGAGGCGTCCTACACGGTCGAATTGGGCAGGTGAACATGGCGGTGTTAGTGTGCTGCCCCGGGAGGGATGGATCGCCGGTGCGGCCAGGCACGAAGGGAACAGAGGCCGAAAGGAAGGGGGAGGGAGAGGGGCGGCGGCGGCGGCGGCGGCGGCGACGTGGCCGCACCATGACGAAGGAATTGACCGTCAAAAGGGCCAGCTCCGAGCGGGCCTTGGCGTAGGTGACGATATACAGGTACACCATCTTCTTCATCTCGAGCATCTCTGACCGCATGCACTGCAGCACGTCGGGGAAGAGCGCGGACAGGTCGTTGCCGAGTGCCATGTTGGCCACGATCCGCTTCATGGAGGCCAGCTGCTCCTTCTTGTTGTTCGAGTGGAGGCCCTGCTTGAGTTCGGGCAACTCGCCTGTGGTTGGACAAACGAGGAAAAGACAGGAAGAGAGAAAGGGGGGGGGGGGAGAGGAGGCATAGGTAGGTGGGGCGAGTGGCGATGTGTGTAAGTGGCCAACGGCAAGCAGGCAGAGCACGGGCAGGGCGGGGGGAGGCTGGCAAGCCACTCGCCGCAGGCAAGCTCCCCTCCCTGTCGGGGGCGGACTAGTAACCAGGGAAACGGGGCTGCCGAGCAGTCAGATGGACGGACCCCTCTTGGTGGCGGCGAAGTACTTCGAGTCGGACATGGCAGCGGAGGTGTTTATCCGGTGCGACTCGGAGCAAACGGAGGGCGGGACACGGGGAGCGCGAGGGGAGAGGCGGGGCGGGG